CCATGGAGATTAAAGGATTTCTGATTAGGGAAAAACATTAAAATGATGGAAAGATAAAAACACTGATTTTACACGATGCCGGCCCTTTAACTGTAAACTGGATCTTTAAGAAATTCTGGTTCTGGACGGTAAATCGTTGTTTATTCTGGTCAGAACCAAATATTTCAGATCCCATCTGATTTCATGTTTCTCATCCAGATTAGTGGTTAATTCCTCCATCTTGAACATTTTGTCTGGATTAAGAGCCGTGTTTGGACCGCTCTGGCTGGGTTCTGGCCCAGATGGACCCGGTTCTGTTCAAAGCGACTCCTCTCTGGGAGGATTCGTCCAGCTGAGCGCGGCGGCACGTGTTTGGCCGCCGCTGCATGTTTTCTGGGTCGGGATCCACAGACCCGTTTCCCCGCTAGACGTAGGTCAGTTTAGTCATCCAGCTGCAGCCGAGGCGGCCCGTAATCTGCTGCTGGATTATAATCCCACGGCCCAGAACAGGTCGTTACGCTGGAGATGTTCTTTTATTTTCAAATCTGAAGCTACTGGTTCAACATTTATATAATTTTTATTTTATATTTTTACACTGAAATGTAAAAATCAGTTTGATCTAAATCATTTCTAAGATTTAATGACATTAATCCCTGAATATTAAAATAACCTTCCTACAATTCATCCAGATTCTAGACGGTTTTCTAATCTCAAGGTTTTCTCTTATAATTGGTAAATTTAGGATTTTTAAGTAGAAACAAATTTATAAATAAATATGAACTGAAATAATCTGTTATTGGAGCAAGTTTTAGAAAGTTAGACTTTCACTGCAGAAAACTGGGATTTTTTCCTTCAGATGCATTAAAGAAATGTATTTTTCTTGAGTCAGAAACTTGATAATCTGATCTTTTTCTGATCAGTAAACGCATCTTTTCCCATCAGCCGGGTCACCTATAAACCCTCTTCGGTGTGGAAACAGTTACTGAGGAAAGAAATTGAGTATTTTTTAGCTGAATTTAAACTTTCTCAGAACATTTTGAAACAAACTTAAACAGCCAGGTTGCAGTTTGGAACCTGCAGGGAGAAACGTCTGAAACTGGACTGGACGGTTCGGGTGTGACGTCACATCTGGAGGGGAATCAGGGATGCTTGTGTCAACCTGACTGAAGTACGGCGGTGGCAGCATCATGCTGTGTGGTGCTGATTTACTGCAGGAAGAAAAAACAGATTCTCTAATTAATGAGCCTTTTGGGAAACTTCTGACGTGAAACCAGAGACGTTTGGTTCTGATCCGGCTTCGGACCGAAGGAACAAAAGCTGGGCGTGTCTTTTTATCAGGTGTATGTAAACTTCTGGCTCTCCTTCCTGTCGTCGCCGTCCAGGTAAAAACCAGGACAGAAGGAAGCTGTTGCTAGGTAACCGTTCAGTCCGGTCGGATGCAAACGGGTCATGGAGAGCACGCCTGTTACCGTGGTAACAGGCGCCGCTGTGTTTCCGCCTGCAGTCAGATCATCCAGCTGCTCCGTTTGCAGGAAGTTCTGAACGGTTCTGATCGTACTGGGTCCAACAGAACCACCAGAACAGTAACAGTGATAATAGTGATGTAACCTTAATGCTGCTGAAGCCGCAGACGAACCGTCGCTTAGCGGTTCATGAAGGAGAAGCAAAGTGTTTAAAGCTGAAGGCTCATCTGATGCTTCTCCTCTTCCTCCTCCTATTTCTTCACTTCCTCCTCCTATTTCTTCACTTCCTCCTCCTGCTCTTCTTCCTCCTCCTCCTCCTGCTCCCTGGTTTTCCTCGCTCTTCGTCGTGTTGTCGGCCCTGCATGCTAACTGTCTGGTCTCTCCTCCAGTCTGGGCTCAGCAGCTCTGCCTTTCAGCCAGAGAGGCTCCAGGTACTAACTCACCTCAGCACACCTTCCTACATGAAGTGCTTAAACCAGGGGGCCCAAAGTGGGTCCTGGAGGCCCGGCATCCTGCATGTTCCAGTTCTCTCTCTGGTGGTAGCAACAACGTCCTCAGCATGTCGATGTTCTTTTCAGGCCTGTAATGAGCATCATTTGATCCAGGTGCGTTAAACCAGGGAGAGAATAAAACTTGCAGGATGCCGGGCCTCCAGGACCCACTTTGGACCCCCTGCTTTAACCTCTCATCTGTCCGGGTTTCATGCTTTGATCCGGACTGCATCATTATCCAGGTTTTCTGAAGTTTTTTGTCAAGATTACAGTAAAATGCGGATAAAAATGGCTCACAGTTTTTAAAAAGACTGGAACATTTTTCCCCTCAACAAACTCAAACTTCATATTTTCACACAGATTTTCCATCAGTTTAGAAGAAGTAAAACATCAGATTTATTCAGAACCAACAGAGTCAATCATCTGCTTTACTGTTAGCTGAACTAGTGTTTCTGGTTCATGCTTTACAGTCAGCGCAGCTAGCTTTGTAGTTAGCGGTGCCCAGTGCCACCATTGCTCATCAGTCACAAGGGGAAGAGCAGAAAAGCAGCAGCTCATTATGAAAAGCTGCTGATCTTAATTAGTAATGGTTTATGGCTCATATTGAAGAGATTTCTGGATGTCGATGTGTTTCTCTGTTCATTATCAAAAGGATTCTTTGTGTCTGTTGGAGCAATCAAAGGTGTGTTGTTAAATCTGACAGCTCTCCGCTTGGACGTCTGGTCCGGTTCTGACCCGGTCCAGAATCCCTGAATGAGGGATGAAACTGTTAGTAAATGATCGATTAGGATCGATTCACATTGATCCTAAAATAACCAAACCGTAGAGAAACGGCAGGCTTGAGCCATGTTGTCCTGCTCAGCGGCCGCCAGCAGGGGGCAGTGTTTGTCTGAAACTAAAGGAGACGCTTCTCAGCTTTTGATTTAAAGTCTGAACCAGCAGAAATGATCATCAGCTCTGTTTCAGTCACTAGCTACAGTAACGTAAATCCCAGAGGAGTGAGAGGTCTCACTCTGCTTCTGATTTAGAGGAGCTCCGGGAGGAAACCTGCAGCTTGATGCTAAAGATGGAGAAACGTTCTCTGCTCTTCCAGTGTCAAACATTCATTTCTATTTAAAGTTTATCGACAAGTTCTTGCATTATTATGCTCTTAACATCATATTACTGGAAAATGGTCTCAAAACAACAATATTATCATTTAAGGGAATAACTTCTGGGACTTTTTTATTGTTTTGGCTCTAGTGGCCTTCATTTGATAGTTAATTGACAGGAAAGTTAGTAATGGGAGAAGACATGCAGCAAAGGTTGCCAAGGCTGGGAATCGAACCTGCGACAGCTGCATTGAGGACTAAGGCCTCCATATGTGGGTTGTGCTGAACCCCTGCGCCACCACAGCACACGCCAACTTCTGGGACAATTAATAGACGTGTTATTGTGACAGGTCAATTATCACATTTTAATTGAAAGCTATATGTCGACAAGATAAACATTTTCATTTCAAAAATCCTTTTTTCTGCTAAATCCTTGAATAAATAGACAAATATATTTACTCTGTTGTTTTGGTTATAAAACACCAGATTGGCGCAAGAAGCTCAGAACTGGTGATTTGGGTAATAGTTGTTTTTCTCTGTTTTGTTGTTTTTGTCTGAAATATCAAACTGTGACAAAATGTCTCAGCTTTAGTTCTGCTGGTTTGTTTGGTTCTGATCCAATCAGCTGCTTTTGGACCTTTTGGTCCTGCTGCAGGAATTAATCAGCCCGGTCCAGTTTCATGTCGTTTGAAGCTCAGATATCTGCAGACGGCTGCAGTTTCCACCCGGCCGGTGAGTCAGAACCAGAACCCTGAGGAGCCGACGGTCGATCGGTAAATGGATGCATTCAGAGGAAGCTCTAAACGTTTCTGCTCTGGTAATGGACTGCTTAATGTCGTCCATCATTACCTCGGTCTCCCATCATGCATCAGTGTGAGCCTGAGCAGCGTGAGGCGTGTTTCCTCGGAACCAGGCGGGTCGGCCGTGTTGTTTTCTCTCTGTCTGGAGGAGGAGGGTTTGGGTTTGTGTGGACACCATGCTGAACGTTTCTCGGACGCTAACGCCTCGACGTTCTCTTGCAGTGGACAAAAACAAGCCGGCGACGAGACCCGCGAGCGGCGGCTCCCAGATCACCACAGGGAACCAGCAGAACCAGCAGAACCTCCCAGCTGAGCCGGTACGTCCAGCAGCACCGCCTGCTTTGGTTCAGATCGAAGGATTTTATCCAGACGTTTTCTGTCCTCAGGCACCAGATGTTCTGAATGCCAACAGCCCAGGAATACCAGCTCTCCCAGTCCCGACCCCTGATGGCTCCAGCTCCACATCCGGGTCCGCTGCACCCAGCGGTCCAGGGCTCAAAGCCAGAACCGGGTCACGGTCCAGCCCTAAACACGGGCCCCGGCCGCAGCACGCATCCCGACCCGGAGCGGCGCCGGCGAAGCCGAACCAGAACAAAGAGCAGGTGGAGAGGAAGAACCAGGCCATCGTCCAGCTAAGGAGGCTTCTGGTCCAGGGGAACCGCAAGGTGGAGGCGCTGGCCGCTGTCATCCAGCATCTGTTCTCTGAGGTACTGAAGTTTTTCCTTTACCTGATGTTCCTCTGAAAACAAAGTTCTGGGCCGAAACTTGGAAGAAAAGCTGTCAAAGTCCAAAGAAAATCCAAAGACGTTCTGACTTTTTAACGGGGTTCGAAGGTGTTTGTATTGTTTGATGTCAGTTTTATGCATTCTATGGTGTTTGAAGGCGACCCGTCATGAATCCGCTCCAAGAACGGACCAAACGTCTGGCTTTTGTGCAGAATCCTCCGAGGTGGTTTGCTCCTCTGCTTCCAGGCCTCCTATTCCTTTGAGAATGATCCAGATGGATTCACGATCAGCACACGTTTTACTAGCATGTTAGCTTCTCCACCTTCCCATGAAACTGACCTTCCAACAAGCTCACAGACAGTTTTTACATTGGTAAGGAACCTTTGCATTGTACCAAAGTTGATTGGTCAAACTAGTATACAGGAACATTTTCCTGTTGAACGTTTCTGTTCACGAACCCTGCTGGCATCGCCAAGTTATCATGAGTGGAAGACTAATGAATGCATCTGAGGATGGGAGTGAGGAGGAATCTGGAGCTCATTTTCTGAAGGTTTTTTGTTGAAGACCCTTAGCATCCAGCTAAGCATCATGCTGACCTGAGTTCAGTGCTGACTCCTCAGTGCTCACCTGGTTTCCTGCCTGGACAACCTCAGAAGGTAAATTTCAGATTCAGATCCACCTCAGCTGACTCCCTGTGAGGTACAGAAGCTCGACAACGATCCCCTCCAGACTGAATCCTTCAGTCGCGGTTCATGACTCAGGACCTTCAGGTGGACATGAAACCGACAGCAGAATTCAGGTCCTGCTGAAGATGAACCACTGATCCATCCGTCATCTCCTGCCTCGTCACTCAGGAACAGAAACTGCACTTCCTCTGGAGGCAGAGCGTGACCTCTGACCTGAAAGGGCCTTTTAGCTGGTTTCCAGCTGGGAACTGACAGGATCTTTGTCATCTGGAGTTTTTGCAGCTTGGTGATTGCTGAGCAGATTCCTAACCTGTCACATTTCAGATGTTCCCAAACAGAGGAGCCTCTTCCGGCCTCCTCTCTGCTCCAGATGAATGTGTTTGGGCTCGTTAATTACAGGTCGGCCCAACCTGAGCTAAATGAGTGGAAACCATCAGATATCTGTTCCACGCCTCCCTGCCCTCCAGCGGTCTGAACCGCAGCAGCAGCCTGTCATTAAGGCGTCGGTAGGTGATGGAACGGGTTTCTGTCCTCACACAGAAACAAGCTGCTGAAACGCAGCGCGATGATGGACGTAGTGGCAACAACCAGGCTGCGATTAACCTGAGATGATCTCTGAGTACTTACTGATCCAAACCCACAAACCTTCCTTTAACCCAGAGCTCAACTAGGAAGGTTTTCTTTTTCAGCCTGGTTCTTGTGTAAAAACCCAGTTTGCTCTCATTTCTTTGGTTGAGTTGATGAAAAATCCAAAGATAATCAGAAACGGGCAGAAACCATCTGTAACTCTAAAGGAAAATTTAAATTTTTGACAAGAAATGGTTTGCCAAAAACATCAACTCTTCCTGATTTCATCATGTTTTCCCAACATTTAGATTTTGGCAACATTTACCTGCTGGATCATCATTAGATCCCAAACTCGTCTGTTCTCTGATTGCTGCTTTAAAAAGTTGAAAAAGACAAAAATATTCTCTGAGAGCCTCTGAAACGGCAGATGGTTGATTATGGAAACATTTTCTGTTTGACTGAATAACTGAAGGTACAGCAGTAGTGGCACACCTTAACTAATTTTGCTAATGCTGGAGGCTAATTTTTTGCTTAGCGCTTTAGCTAACTTTGAAAACGATTAGCATACTTAGCTTCCCTGAATTAAGTTTTCCAGATAAATTCTTAATTTGTTTGGATTTTTGTAAACTTTCAGTTTAACATTTGTTCAACATTTGTTTTGAAATTTTGGTAGCTAACCAATTATTTTCATGCTCTTATTCTGAAGTCTGTTTATGCGGAAGTTCCATTTCCTTCGTTTTACAGAGAAACTTTATTGAGAAAATGACAAGTTGACAATAAACGAAGGAATGAGGCTTACAGAAGAATTACAACTCTTACCTAAACAGCCAGGCTGTTGATTAAACAAAAGCATGAAAAAATTCACATAGTTCCCACAAGCCTGAAGCTGAAGTGATCCACGCCGCTGAACCGCCATCTTGGTAGGCAAGTGCAGCGCAAAGCATTGATGAGCCATAGCTGCAAGACCAGAGGCCAAGTAGAGAACTCAAAATGTGTAATCCAGTAATTGTTGTAATGTTC